GGAAGGATGTTCAACATTTTATGGACTGTTTAGTGTTTTCAGTAGGGGGGTGTACTATTGGGGGGTTTATTGCCTATCCCAGAGTTCTTTAACCCAGTGACAGGCTGTCAGAACAGGCAAGATCTGTGACAGCAGCTTTCCTGTGTTGCTGTGCTTGAGGAGTTCTCTTCTATATTATACATTACTGCACCTTGTAATGTACCTTGTAACCCCTCTATACTGTACTCAGCCCTCCATCCCTCCTGTACTGTGCCCTCCTGCTCCCCCATACTGTGACAGTCCTGCCCCCCCTGTACTGTGACCTCCTGCCCCCCCTACTGTGACCTCCTGCCCCCCCATACTGTGACCTCCTGCCCCCCCTGTACTGTGACTTCCTGCCCCCCCCTGTACTGTGACCTCCTGCCCCCCCCTGTACTGTGACCTCCTGCCCCCCCTGTACTGTGACCTCCTGCCCCCCCTGTACTGTTCCTCCTGCCCCCCCTCCTGATCCCCCTGTATTGTGCCCTCCTGTCCCCATGTACTGTGCCCTCCTGCCCCTTTGTACTGTGCCCTGCTTATCCCCCTGTACTGTTCCCTCCTTCCCCCCCCCCTGTACTGTGCCCATCCTGCCCCCCCCCCCCCCCCCCGTACTGGGCCTTTCTGCACCCCTCCCTGTACTGTGCCCTCTTGCCCCCCTGTACTGTGCCCTCCTGCCCCCACTTGTACTGTGCCCTCCTGCCCCCACTTGTACTGTGCCCTCTTTCCCCCCTTTGTACTGTGCCCTCCTGCCCCCCTGTACTGTGCATTACTGCCCTTCCCTGTACTGTACCCTCCTGGCCCCCCATACTGTGCACTACTGCCCCCCCTTGTACTTTACTGTGCCCTCCAGTCCCCCCCATACTGTGTACTCCTGCTCCCTGTACTGTGCCCTCCTGCCCCCATAATGGGCCCTCCTTCCCCACCTTGTACTGTACTGTGCCCTCCTGCCCCCCATAATGTGCCCTCCTTCCCCACCTTGTACTGTACTGTGCCCTCCAGCCAGCGGGTACTGAGCCCTCCTGCCCTCTGTACCATGCCCTCCTGTCCCCCCAGTACTGTACTATGCACTCACAGCACCCACTGTCCTATGCACTCTTGCTCCCACATACTGTGCCCTACTGCACCCTTTACTGTGCCCTCCATCCCCCTATAATTTGCACTCCTCCCCCATATCCTGCACTCCTGCCCAACTTATACTTTTACCTCCTGTATTATGTTCCCCTGCCCCCCTCTGTACTATGCCCTTCTTCCACCTATACTGTGCATTGCTGTCTCCCATACCCTGCACTCCTGCCCCACCTATACTGTGCTCTCCTGGCCCTCCTGTATTATGTTTTCCTGCCCCACGAGTACTGTGCCCTCCATCCCCCCCTGTACTGTGCCCTCCTGCCCCCCCTGTACTGTGCCCTCCTGCCCCCCCTGTACTGTGCCCTCCTGCCCCCCCTGTACTGTGCCCTCCTGCCCCCCCCTTGAACAGCGTGCCCTCCTGCCCCCCTCATACTGTGCCCCCTCCTGCCCCCCCATCACTGTGCCCCATCCTGCTGCCCCACCCTGTACTGTGCCTGTGGTCCTGCCCCCCCTGTACTGTGCCCTCCTGCCCCCCCATACTGTGCCCTCCTGCCCCCACCTCATGTCATGTGCCCTCCTGCCCCCCCCTACTGTGCCCTCCTGCCCCCACTCATGTACTGTGCCCTCCTCGCCCCCCTCCCTGTACTGTGCCCTCCTGCCCCCCTCCCTGTACTGTGCCCTCCTGCCCCCCCATACTGTGCCCTCCTGCCCCCTCCTGTACTGTGCCCTCCTGCCCCCCCATACTGTGCCCTCCTGCCCCCCTTCCTGTACTGTGCCCTCCTGCCCCCCTTCCTGTACTGTGCCCTCCTGCCCCCCTTCCTGTACTGTGCCCTCCTGCCCCCTCCCGTACTGTGCCCTCCTGCCCCCTCCCGTACTGTGCCCTCCTGCACCCTCCCGTACTGTGCCCTCCTGCCCCCTCCCATACTGTGCCCTCCTGCCCCTCCCTGTACTGTGCCCTCCTGCACCCTCCCGTACTGTGCCCTCCTAGCCCCCTCCCTGTACTGTGCCCTCCTGCCCCCCTCCCGTACTGTGCCCTCCTGCCCCCTCCCGTACTGTGCCCTCCTGCCCCCTCCCGTACTGTGCCCTCCTGCACCCTCCCGTACTGTGCCCTCCTGCACATCCTATCCCGTACTGTGCCCTCCTGCACCCTCCTGTTCTGTGTCCTCCATCCCCTCTTCCTGTACTGTGCCCTCCTGCCCCCCCCTGTACTGTGGCCTCCTGCCCCCCCCCCTGTACTGTGGCCTCCTGCCCCCCCATACTGTGCCCTCCTGCACCCTCCCATACTGTGCCCTCCTGCACCCTCCCATACTGTGCCCTCCTGCCCCCCCTTGTACTGTGCCCTCCTGCCCCCCTTGTACTGTGCCCTCCTGCACCCTCTTGTACTGTGCCCTCCTGCACCCTCTTGTACTGTGCCCTCCTGCACCCTCTCGTACTTTGCCCTCCTGCACCCTCCCGTACTGCGCCCTCCATCCCCCCTTCCATACTGTGCCCTCCTGCACCCTCCCGTACTGTGCCCTCTTTCCCCCCTTCTTTTCTCTGCCCTCCCCCCCCTTCTGTACTGTGCCCTGACTGCCTTCTCAGAACAGGCAAGTACTCTGCCCTCCTGCCCCCCTCTCTGTACTGTGCCCCCTCCCCCCTCCCTGTATTGCCCTCCTGCCCCCCTCCCTGTACTGTGCCTTCCTGCCACCCCTCTGTACTGTACTCAGCCCTCCATCCCTCCTGTACTGTGTGACCTCCTGCTCCACGTACTGTGCCCTCCTGATCCCCCCCTGTACTGTGCCCTCCTGCCCCCTCCCCTGTACTCTGCCCTCCTGCCCCCCTCCCCTCTGTGCCCTGTACTGTGCCTCCTCACCCTCCCTGTACTGTGCCCTCCTGCCCCCCTCCCTGTACTGTGCCCTCCTGCTCTCCCTGTACTGTGCCCTCCTGCCCCCCTCCCTGTACTGTGCCCTCCTGCCCCCCTCCCTGTTCTGTGCCCTCCTGCACCCGCCCGTACTATGCCCTGTGTTGAGTAGTCTTTGGTTTATTGTATGTTTTCTTATTTAAAATTGATTACGTTGAAAGTCCTAATAAATATATTTTTCATTCTATCAACTAATATACTATAATTTTTGAGAGTATGTGCTGAAATTTGGGCAGGCTGGTAGGGGCCCCAGAGAATGACTTTGTTCAGGGGCCCATGATGTTACATTCCTGTGGGAGAGTGAGATCTCTCTTTGTATCACACAGAACTGTACAGGAGTCATGAAGAAATCCACCGACAATGACACCAGAAGGAGATCTCATCGTATGACCACAAGATCCTCGAGAATCCAGAATCCCATCACCATCCCCCCACCTCCATCCCTGATCCCTACAAGACAGAAGATTCTAGAAGTCACCAAGAAGATGATGGAGCTGTTGACAGGAGAGGTGAGCGGTGCCGGGAATTCTGGGACATTCTCCAGTAACAGACAAGGGATGTGTCTGGATGGTGACTGTATCATTGTGTGTGTCAGGTTCCTATAAGGTGTCAGGGTGTCACTGTCTTACATCCTCCTGACCCCTGCACTATATACGCTATGTTGTACATTACATACTCCTGACCCCTGCACTATATACTCTATGTTGTACATTCCATACTCCTGACCCCTGCACTATATACTCTATGTTGTACATTACATACTCCTGACCCCTGCACTATATACTCCCATGTTGTACATTACATACTCCTGACCCCTGCACTATATATTCTGTGTTGTACATTACATACTCCTGACCCCTGCACTATATACTGTATGTTGTACATTACATACTCCTGACCCCTGCACTATATACTGTATGTTGTACATTACATACTCCTGACCCCCATGCACTATATACTCTGTGTTGTACATTACATCCCCCTGACCCCTGCACTATATACTCCATGTTGTACATTACATACCCTGACCCCTGCACTATATACTCTATATGTTGTACATTACATACTCCTACTCCTGACCCCGTGCACTATACTCTATGTTGTACATTACATACTCCTGACCCCTGCACATATACTCTATGTTGTACAATACATACTCCTGACCCCCTGCACTATATACTCTATGTTGTACATTACATACTCCTGACACCCCTGCACTATATACTCTATGTTGTACATTACATACTCCTCGACCCCCTGCAGTATATACTCTATGTTGTACATTACAATACTCCTGACCCCTGCACTATATACTCCATGTTGTACATTACATACTCCTGACCCCTGCACTATATATTTCTGTTGTACATTACATACTCCTGACTTCTGCTCTCCCCCCTCCCCCCCCACTGCTATATATACACATAATATGGATTCTCTTTTGTTCCCCCCATTTCCCCAGCTGGACATTTTATATCGGATGATGTGATTGGCGCACAGACTTTTACATGGGATAATAATGTGATAACATCCTCCAACTTTGGACCCTTAAACAGAAAGTGATAATGAGGGAGGAGTCAATACCCCAATGTTGGGTGTCTTCAAAGGATCAGTCCAGTCTTCATCTTGGTTGTTCTCCCCCCCCATCCTCACTCTCTGACCTCTGGTGGGACTCAGCCAGTCCTGGTTTGGGGGAACCAATCAGCTCCTGTCTAGTAATCCTCTTTGTCTTTGTATTTTAGTCCATGGCCGGGAGATGAGGAAAACCTCAGAGGATTGTCTCTCACTTTGTCTCCAGACTGGAAAGTAGAAGATGAGGACATCACACAGTATAGTCCAGGAGAAAACCCGGCTCCCTCCAATGTCCATCCGGCACCACCCAGTGTAGATGGACCATCAGATTCCTCGTATCCTGAGGAACCTCAGACTGTGCGGGACCGGGCCGGCCTTTCAACAGGGAAGAGCTTCTCCTGTACTGAGTGCGGGAAGAGGTTCCATTCTAAAATCAAACTTAATGTGCATAAAAGAACACACACAGGGGAGAAGCCGTATTCCTGTCATGAGTGCAGGAAATGTTTCCATTCCAAATCACTTCTTAATGTTCATAAAAAATCCCATATGCAGGAAAAGCCACATTCCTGTCCTGAGTGCGGGAAGTGTTTCAGTTTTAAATATAATCTTAATGTGCACAAAAGATCTCACACGGGAGAGAAAGCCATTTTCCTGCCCTCAGTGCAAAAAATGTTTTTCACAAAAATCCTCCCATCTACAAATACATCATAGAACATATCACATGGGCGAGAAGAAATATTCCTGTCCTGAGTGCGGGAAATGTTGTTTACAGAAATCACATCTTATTACACATCTAAGGCTTCACACAGGAAAAAACCGTACTCCTGTTTTGAGTGCGGGAAATGTTTTTCAAACAAGTCCTTTTATCACAGACATCAGAGACTCACACAGGGGAAGAAGCCATATTCCTGTCCTGAGTGCGGGAAATGTTTTTCAGAAAGTCAGGTCTTTGCAGACATCAGAATCTCACACGGGGAGAGAAGCCGTATTCCTGTTCTGAGTGCGAAAAATGTTTTTCACAGAAGTACCATCTTTCACACACATCAGAGATCTCACACGGGGGACATATTCGTCCTAAGGGGAGAAGCCATACTCCTGTCCTAATAAGAAAACAGAAAGAAGCCGCCGTGCGGGAAATGTTTTTTCAAGTAAGTCCCATCTTCACACACATCAGAGATCTCACAGCGGGGAGAAGCCACTTTCCTGTTCTGAGTGTGGAAAATGTTTTTCAAGTAAGTCCCATCTTCACACACATCAGAGATCTCACACGGGGGAGAAGCCGTATTCCTGTCCTGAGTGCGGGAAATGTTTTCACAGAAGTCGCAGAAGTCTCATACATCTTTCCATATTCATCAAGCAGAAGTCCCATCTCATGAGATCTCATGAGGGAGAAGCCACTTTCCTGTCCTGAGTGAGGGAAATGTTCCTCACTGAAGTCCTGTCTTCCTGTACATCAGGGTTCCACACAACCCTGGAGGTGTATTAGTGCCTTGAGTGCGGGAAATGTTTTTCACAGAACTCCCATCTTTACAGACATCAGAGATCTCACATGGAGGAGAAGCCACTTTCCTGTCCTGAGTGAGGGAAATGTTCTTCACTGAAGTCCTGTCTTCCTGTACATCAGGGGTCCCACACAGCCCTGGAGGTGTATTAGTGCCTTGAGTGCGGGAAATGTCTTCTAGATGAATGTTGCTGGACATCCCAGCTCTCATGTGGGGAAGAAGCACACCCTGATATACACCTCAGATATACTCCATGGCTGATCTTCCTCATGGAAGAAACAGTCCATAAAGAGATCAGAGGCCCCAAAGACATGATGAAGTGTGGGACCAGGTTGGCCATTGATAGCAGGAGAATAAAAATGGGGTCCTGATCTGTCATTGGCTGCACACAGTTTGTGGCGGGAGATTTCACAAACACTTGGAGGTGTGATTTGTAAACAACAATATTGGACAGATGTGATCAGTGCTGGCCCAGCTGTGATGAATATTGGTGGTATTGTATTCATCCAGTGATGACATTAAGGCCCTGATTTACTAATGTGTCTAGGTGCATTTCCGTGGGCTAACAATCCAGGAATCAGTCTAAAAAAGCAGACTTGGTAAAAGGCATGTCTAACACTCTGACCAATCACTGCAGAGACGTTCACATTGAAATTTGCTTTGTCAAATATCAGGACTTCACTTTAAACAATATCTGACATTTCCAAAAAAATGTTTAAATGGGTAAAAAAGTAGTTTTTTAAAGCAAGTCATGACAGTGAAGAACTAGACGCTTTTCCAACGTCTATGTCCGATATAAATGCGCATGTGCAGAACACATTAGACGTCCTCTGTGGGCACTTGCTTTTTAGCCACTGCTCAATAGTAAATCTCTGTATGAAGTCCTCTGACAGGCGGCACTCGGTCACGTCTCCTGTGTGTGGAGTCCTCTGACAGCCGGCACTCGGTGTCTCCTGTGTGTGGATTCTCTGACAACCAGCACCATTTGTAGCCAGGACAGATCGGTTTATCCTATTCTAGTTGTGCATCACCATTTGTAGCCCTTCACGTCTCCTCCTACCACCCCAGGCCATCCCCCACAGCCACTTCCTCCTGTACCTCTACAGGTCCCTCGGTCCCTCCTAGATTGTAAGCTCGAAAGAGTAGGGCCCTCTTACCCCTCGTGTGCTGTTTGTTGTTACTGTAAATGTTCATGTATTGACAGCCCCCCCTCTATTGTTCCTCTGACAGCGCTGAGCAAACCCTTTGGCGCTATATAAACCGATAAATAAATAATTTGATTTCCTTAGTTCTATTTATTCTGATTTTGTTTGTTATCCTTTATAATTATTTCTGTAATGATTTTACATATTTTGAAGGTCTAGATAATATATATTATTGATAGCTGAATCTAAAAATAAAGGTCAGTAATAAAAGAAAAATGGTGTGGGGTCCCCCCTCCCATCCACACCAAGCCCTTTGGGTCTGGTATGGAATTAGAGGGGAAGCCCCACACCAAAATGTAAAAAAAAAAATGGCATGGGATCTCTCCCCAAAATCCCTACCAGACCCTTATCTGAGCATGCAGCCCGGCAGGTCAGGAAAGAAGGAGGAATGAGCGAGTGCCCCCCTGTACCATACCTGGCCACATGCCCTCAACATGGGGGGGGGGGGTGCTTTGGGGCAGGGGGGCCTCCCAAAGAACCTTGTCCCCATGTTGATGGGGACAAGGGGCCTCTTCCTCACAACCGTGGGGGCTTATTAGAATCTGGAAACGCCCTTTATAAAGGGGGCCCCAAATCCCCCCCCCCAGTTGAATGAGTATGGGTACATGGTACCCCTACACATTGACATAAAAACAAAAAATGTAGTGTGAAAAAAGACAGAAGTCTGTCTCTGACAAGTCCTTTATTTAAAACACTAAAAGAATGTCCCCCACAGTGGATCCAACGTCAATCATGATGCCCGCCATCACCACCGCTGCTGCCGCTACCTGAAAAAATCATTTAAAAACAGGCTCTGCTCCCACCGATGGCTTCCAGCCATCTGCTTCTGAGGTGGCTTGACAGTTTTTAAATATATAAGGGGCGGGGCCACCAGGACATCATTAGCAGCATAATAAAATACACCCTGAAAGCCTGGAGGTGCTTATTGGATTTTGGAGTCCTGTCTGTAGCTAGACTGCCAAAACATCTCTCACATGTGGTGCCCCCATACTCGGGAGAAGTAGCAGAATGTATTTTGGGGTGTAATTCCACATATACCCATGGCATGTGTGAGCAGTAAATCATTACAATGGCAACTATGTTTAAAAAAGAAAAAACTTTTTTTGCCATTTTTAAAAAACTTGTGACAAAAAAATAAAATCTTCCATGGACTCAACAGAATATTCCTTTTGGTTTCTACTTTCCAAAAAGGGTCATTTGGGGTGTTTGTACTATTTTGGTATTGTAGCACCTCAAGAAATGTGATGAGTAGTCAGAAAGTAAAAGCTGTGTAAATTTCAGTATCTATCCCATAGTTTGTAGACACTACAACACACTCACACACAGCAATCAATATACACTTACTGGGATTTTTTCTTACCGGAGACATGGAGCAGAATACAAGATAGACATATCTAACATAGAAGTTAGAAAATATTTTTTTTTGTAATGTTGGTCTTTTTTCATTTATATGGAACACACCCAGTGCTGATCAAATACCACTAAAATAAAGCTTTATTTGTGTGAAGAAGGATATAAATATTGTTTGGGTAAAGCGTTGCATGACCGAGCAATTACCAGGTGAAATAGTGCAGTGCTGAATAGTAAAAATGGCCTGGTCATGAATGGGGGAAACCTTCCACAGTTGATTGGATCCAGAGAACAGAACAATCTATAGCTGACCATACACTGTTAGTTCTTTTGTTCAGATTTTCTCCTTCCACACAAACAATGTGAATGGAGGAATCCCTCCCACTGGGAATACACTGATTGGTGGCTGCAGATGCTGATGGACAAATGTTTTCCATCATATCCTGAGACAGAAACAGCCAACTTTTGTTGATGGAGAACAGCCACACATGGAGCAGAATGTATTATTATTATACAGGATTTATATAGAGCCAACAGTTTGCTCATCACTTTACATACAATATGAGGGCAGACAGGACAATTCCAATACAATTCATTACAGGAGGAATCAGGGGGCCGGCTGGTTAGAGCTTACAATCTAAAATGGAGGGTCAACTGATACAAAAGGTAATAGTTTGGGGGGATGGGCTGATGGAGAAAATAAAAGTACAGATATTAGGTGGGGCAGGATAGGCTTCTCTGAAGAGAAGGTGTCACGGTATGGGAGCGTGCCAATTATTAATCCCCTTATTAGTGCCTTGTATCACATGCCCTCAGTGTCCTGCTCTGTATTGTTACAATTGTTCCCTGTGTCACTAGGCCAAATGGCCAAATCAAATTACTCTGGGCCCCCTCCCTCCTGGCCAGCTGGCTGGGAGCTCTCTGCACACCTTCCAACCTGCTTTTCATCTATGCAGACATCATCCCTGGCCCCATGATGTCCCTGTCACCAGCCTGATTCTCCCTGGGGTCTAGTGTTCCCTTCCCCCTCCCGGTTGCCAAGGCGACCGGGGAGCGTCCTGCAGCAGTTTAAGAGGTGGATGCTGGGAGCTCCTATTCATTCTGGTGTGGAGTCTGCAAGGGATCTCAAGCTTCGGCGAGACCCTTGTGAATAGACTCTGCAAGCCTACCCTAGCTTCACGGAGACCCCACAGGAGGGAAGAGACAACCAGAGAAAGCTTGCCTACGATTGCGAGAGACCCCACAGAAGGGGGAGAGACTACCACAGCCTGCCTGCTTTTTGCCAGAGGCCCCACAGAAGGGGGAGAGACTAACACAGCCCATCTGCCAGAGCCAGAGGCCACCCGCCTGATCCGGACTCCACAGGTACCTGCGTTCTGCTTCTACCCCTGGGAGACCAGGCACCCTGTTGGATCCGTGAGTACCTGCTTCCCCCCTGTGTTACCTGAACTGTTGTGGTGGTGACTCCTCGCACCCCTCTACTGTGTCGGACTACCCCTGTTACAGGGACACCCCCTTGGCTCTCCTAGTGGACTATAAGTGGGTGGGGCCCCCTCGTTACCCTTTAGTGGCAAATCCACCCTCTCTGCCACCCAGCGTATTAAAGGACTGCCGTCTGTTTGTCTCAATAAAGCTTTGTGCGTCTGCCATCACTCTGTGTGTTCTTTCCTGCCTTTCCTCCGTCACAGAAGGGTTCTCAGGGATCATCTAAAAGTGGACAGAGTAGGAGATAGACAGATTGGGGTAGGGAGTTCCATAGTATGGGAGAGCCTTGGGAAAAGTCCTGGAGATGAGCATGGGAGGAGGTGACAAAGAAGCTAGAGAGTAGGAGGTCTTGGGAGGAACAAAGAGAACAATTTGGTTGGTATTTTGAGACTGGGTTAGTGATGTAGGTGGGGGGCTAAGCTGTGGATGGCTTTGTAAGTTAGTATTTTGAATTGAATTTGTTGGTGTGAGTGGCAGCCAATGAAGGGATTAGCAGAGAGGAGTTGGGTTGGTTCCTGGTCAATCAGCCACATTCAATCAGTGTATGGTCATCATAACCCGAATGGTGTGTATGAGTAGCGGGATGATGAATAACATCCTCCCAGGAGGAGACCATTCCCAATCATCCTAACAAGACTTCATTCAATGTCAATCTGCAGCTTCTACAGCCGGCAATGGGGGAGGGGATCGAAGTACGGACTGAACTTTTCCTGTTCTGTTCTTTGTCCAAATGGCGGACTATTTGCTGATATATAGTAGCTGTATGTCTTACCACTTCTAGACAGAACACCTTCCTTCCTGTCATTGGTGGTAAGAAACCAGCGGATGGCTACCAGTGATGTCACCCTTGGCCCCAGTCAGGAGTCCCCCCAGACCATGTAAGTAAAGGGGCGGAGATAGCATGACATCACTAACCAAAAAGAGTCACATGCTCATATTTGGATAATGACATCACCCTGGAGACGCGCCCCCTCTTTTACATTTAGCGTCTATAGGGACCAGAAGTCGTCATTCTCATGGTAAGTGCAATAATGGGATCATATGTATTCTCTGGAGTTG